TGTACAAACGATTAGCGTGTTGCAAAGCCTATCCGATAAGCTGTCTTGCAATTAATGTTCAGAACGCGGAAATGCACACACTTGAACGGTGCGAACCCACTTGTCTGCCTCCAAAACTGTTTGCTAACAAACGCCTTCTTCCCCTTCTCCAGCACTAATGGGTAAGGCTAGTCGAAGTGGAGATGGGCTAATGTGCAACTGCAGCTGAGCAGCTTGTCAAAGTGATTGTAGCCCTAGGGTACACCACTTTATCACACCCTTGTGCCTTTGCTCATGATGCAATTCAGTGCATGTAGGGTAGCACATGACTTCCTTCGGCTCTACTCTCAGTATTGGTTGGTGCGAGCGTGGATAGCAAGAAAGAGCACCCGAAGTGGTAAAGTTAATTTGTGCAGGTCGATATGCAAGCCAGCTGCTTTACCAAGTTGCAGGGAATCTGACTATTCATCAGGAAAGTAAAGCGGCGCAAACGGTAAGTAGGGCAAGCATGTTTGTTCACTCCTTCTTCGTACACGATTTCCTCTCACTTTGGGAGAAAGATGGCATTCCATTATTCCTCACCAATTCCAGTTTATTTTAAAATCGCCAAAATCTGATACGCATCTTGTGCACAGCATCTTGATTGGCTTGATCAAAAGATGCCTCCATGATCTGATAAATGGAACTTAGCGAAATGCAGTAGAAGCATCAATCAAGGGAATACAAACAAGAATTATTGGCGGGCGTTCACTGCGACCACCGCTCGTACCACAAATGTGCAAAAGTCAGCACACATGCATGGTGTAAGTGGTAAGAAGTTGTTCCAAGTCATTGGCGTTAATACTGATAACTCAGTCATGCCCACACTGAAGGATATCACCGAGTAGGGCTCAAGTCGTAAACATGGAGCGTGTTCAAGGTGTTTAATGTGGGAGGAGATCGGAAGGAATATTTGCCAATATGAAGACGGAATGAGGCAGGATTGTGAGAAAAGAGGATATTGCGGAGCAATGACAAAGTCAACGCGGTCTCGTATGAGGGTGAATGAAGTCGCACAATTCGCATCTAAGTAGGAAGGGACTGCTTAGATTTGCACTTCCATGGCAAGCAGTGCGATGTAAAATGCACAACGCCGTGCGTGGTGCAACAGTTATATTGTTGTGCAGGCCACGCGTGGGGAATGTAGTGCAGCACATCTTTGTTGTGGGACTAAGAGAACGGCACAACATTGGAAGCTTAGTGGATCCAAAATTGTGGCAACCAACAGAGCCGAGTCGAAGACACGATATTCCATGCAGCTTCAATGACATGCGGGTCCATGCAGAAATGGCATCTTTCAACAACAAAAGTCTTGACCAAGGACAACGCGCCAATCTGCGATTCTGGGCAGGCAATGGGCAAAGGTATCGGTAACAGTGGTGCGGAGTTCGCCAAGATGAGGAGGACGCCCAGAATCATCAAGTCCCATTCTAACCACCAAAGCGGCAGCGCATTTCCATTCTTCCAACTACTGTCAAAAGCTAGTCGGGACCTGCGTTCTAATGGATAAGGTAAGATGCAAGATGACCGGCTGCTTCCACAGGTGACGGAATGGTTCTCATTGGGCATGTAGACGCACAAGTACCATTTTAGAAGATTAAGTGGCAAATGGAGTTCAAACACACCTCAGTTAGTATGCGCGGTCGCCAAGGGAGGTCTCGAAACACACCGCTTCAACCTGGATTGATGCTGTTATCATCTCGCCCCTTACGTGCCACGTAATCCGCATGTTCGAGCCAGATGTTAAAGTTCTTCCAAAGCCATGTGCCTCCTGCTAGAAACCTGCTTCATTTTCGACGTTCCTATTTACGTTTTGGAGGCCATCATGAACGCTGGCTGTATGTCAGTGGGAATTGCGCATAAGTAGTGGCAACGGTCTGCCTAATTAGACTAAAGTTCAGGCAGACTGCAATAACGCAGCAGGCCGAATCGTCTTTCCTGCAATCTGGCTTGCTGCTACCCTGTTAAAGCTTTCTGACTGACCAACAAAAGCACCACCTGTAGTCTCAAGAACGGAGGCTTGCACCATCAAACTAAGAGGAAGCGGTCATCGATGGCCTTTCCCAATTGTTCACATACACTCATCACCTTCTTACTTTAGGCAGACCCGTTGCGTTATTCGCGAATTCTTTGTTAGCTTCAAGTAGACAGAGGTTAAATGTGAGGGCTATAGATGAGCAAATGTTGCGGATTCCATGGACATGCAGTCGGATGAAGCGAAGAATGAGTGCCAGACCAGTGTGCACTTTCAATCACGCCATCACAACAACTCCATCTCGTCATTCGTGTTAGCACGATGCAGGAGCAGTGACCAGCTAACAGCTGATATGGGCTTAAATACGAGCATCGAAGTTGGGAAAGACTAAAAGGTGGTCAAAATGCATCGCTTCGAATGAGTCCAACTTCCTTGCACAGGAAGACGGAATTTTGGCATTTGCAAGTCAATAGCATTGCATTTAAACAGTCATGAAACGCCCTGCATCCTTTCCGGCGCTCCCATGTTTGTGTGTTTGTGTTCGATACTTTGCCACAAACACCTTTTCTTCGACCACCAAAATGGCTTGACATTGGCCAGTTGTTCCCCACGATCTGCTAGTAATCACTGAACTCATTTGAACTCAGTAATACCGGCATTTCCGTGGAGTGCAAGCTTTGAAATAGTTTCGAGAAGATAGCATCACCATGGCCTCTGATCTGGCGCGATGCGTTTCGTCTCCTATGGGTGGAACTGCAAAGTTGCCATTTCGCGTTGAAATAACCTCACCACGCGTGTATGTCAGTCGTCCTTTGGGCAGTCGCATAAGAATGCACGTGATCACCACGTACCCCGTAGAGCATTCCAATCCCAACCAGCCAATATGCGCTTAAGCCGGTCGAAAGATGTATGTGGACCAGAAAGCGAGTGAGGCAACTAAGTTAATGGGATGGAGAGGTTGCTGCACTCTCCCGTGGATGAATGCACAAGAGATAGGCGCCAATGCCAAATTTGCTGCGTAAATGAGCATTGCGAATTTTGTCCCCTTAGAAGCAAAGTGCAGTGTTATCTGCGTTAGCTAACGCGAAAGAAAATAAGTTCAATGCTGTGTGACCTACTCAGTCCGTAAAAGACATGAGATCCACATGTTTTGGTGTTTCAATCACATGCCTATTTGCATGCTACTGACATCGGAAACGAGGTGTGTATTTTTTAGCTGAAATGAATTTGCCAACGTAAACGTCATGTCTCCCTTGAGAGACGGCTGGTTTGCGTAGAGTACGAGACGACAGCATAGCGGTAAAGTTGTCTAATTGCATGCTCATTTAGTTAAGTAAAGCGACACTGATAGATGAGAGCAGAACGAAGTAGAGGTGTGCTGGCATGCAGTCAGCGAAATGCTAATCCTCCTTCCATTCCTTGCTAAGGTACCCGGAGGCTGCTCCGCAGGTGGCGGTGCAAGCATAGCCTCAGTGGTGGTGGTGGTGGCGGTAGTCGTCTACCACCACTGTTGCGAACAACCCCACGGTTGTTGCCACGACCACGCACATGGCGACCAGCATTGCTGCTTCTGCACTGGCCACCACGCCGACTTCTCGCCCCATTGCGACACCTTCACAACATCAAACCACGGAGCCCACTTCCACGGGTATGAGCATGGCCAACTTCCGCACTCCATCTCTTCCACTCCTTCCTTGCCTTGTTTACAACTCACTTGTGTGCTCAGCCGTGCTCGCTTATATAGTTTTGTAGTCACCTCTCAACGCTCCGCGTGATGATCCTGCTTGTGGTGTGTTTGGTCCCACCATCGTCGGAAAACGCTTAACAGTGAAATAATGCACTTGATGCTGCAAGTGGTGCTAGATCTGTGGTTTGACATATGAATGAAGCACTGCTAGAATTTGCAGCAATAAAATTAACTCAATGGACATATTATTGTTCAGTGCCACCAAAGATCTACTCAGAACTGAGGTGGATTTATGGTGTTTTACATAATGCACACCTTTGGCCACTAGTTTCTCGAATTCACCTAAAGTAATCCTTAGGAAAATTAGTGCCGCGTTGTCTGTAGTTGCTGAAGACAAGCAACAACACCATTTTCTGCCCCGTGTATGCATGCAGTCACTATCTCCGATTTCTTGCCGCAGTAGATGATGCTTGAGCTAAATTAACTGCACAGCTGCATGCCTCTCCTTCTGCAGTGCGGTGCCGATTTTGCATCTCTACGGATGGCAGCAGTGTGCATATTTGACAGTGGCAGTGTGAAGGACTGCGTGGTATGTGACTCGAGGCGATTGGAGGGTAAAATGAGATGATGCAGACGTGACCTGTGTGGTACATTTGATGGACCACAAATTGTGAGCGAAGCGAGAATGCAAGGAGGGTTGTTGGGAATGGCAGAAATGTGTCATGGTTAGGCCGTTTCGATTTGCGATGGTTGCAAACGCCAAGTCTTGCAAAGTTAAGACTCCGCGAAGCCAAGATGCAAATGCAGCAGCACTAAGCACATTCTGTAAATGCACGTAGTAATCGCCTCGTGTGTCCAATGAGTTCTGAGGAAACAGAAGGACCAATCGTAAACGTGGAGCAGGTTATAAGCCGAGTAGTCGAAGCTCTGCTAAGAGAAATGAAAATGGGATGGCTGTGGGGCAGATTGTGCAAATGTACTAAATAACAGCCTCGATAAATCAAAGAAGTAGATGTGTTGAGAGAGGCGTCTGAAGGGAGTTTGGTGGCTTGTATGCGCAGTACCATTTAGAGGTAGCCAAGAAGCCGTGCGGTTTCGCCAATGGGGTCTAGGAAATGGATGGAAAGGTTGGGAATACGGA